AACAAGATCGTGAACACAAGCGTCCGAAATTAGTTTTCTCAAGGGTCAGAGGAGAAGTTTGGAAATCCAGCAGGAGCTCAGACTAGACTCGCTGCACCTAAAGATGCCCCCTGGGTGCCTCCTTTTAGAGGTCCACCAGGCATGGCCAACCGAGGAAGACCCGCTGGAGGGATTATATCTCCCAGGTGGCCCCTGAGAAGAGCTGGGATCCCCCATAAGGAACTGGAGGGAGTTGTAGGAGACAGGGGGGCCTGGGTGTCTGTAGCTACAACAGTCCTCAATGAACTGAGCAGTTTGAGGAATGAATGAATGCAAAGACTCTGCAGTTTGTGAAGCACATGTATGACAACTGCTGCACAATAACAGAACTGAAACTGGCTGCACTGGTATTATTTAATTCAACATTGTGCATGTCGTTTGCTTTCACCGTGTTTGAAGTCCCACAAACAGTTCTTTGTGTACTTTTGACACACTTTGACCGCAGTTAACTTCTGCTGAATTTGAGGCTTATAGGTTAAAAAAACAAACAGAAACCAAACAGTGTGTCCTCTAAACTGTGCCGGCTGTGCCAACACAAACAGGAGCATCCAGCATCCAGCACAACTCACTCACTGCACAACTCACTTGATGCCTTTTATGTTTTATTTAATGCCTTTTATGTTTTATGTTAAGCGCTTTGAATTGCCTTGTTGTCGAAAGGTGCCGTACAAATAAACGTGCCTTGCCTAGTAAGTAAACACGCACAATAAGTCTCCATAATTACGGTGGCTTTAATTCTATCTGCAGCGTATGTTATGTATTTCTCGGCCCTTTAATGACAGTTTATAGTCTTCGGGCACCCGGAGAATACGGTGTCACATGACAGAGGCTGAAAAAAGACGTTACTCGTAGGCTGTTATTGAAGGTGACCTGGGAGGACGTGTTTATCCAAAAACACTAAGTGGAAAAAATGGAAGAGCAAGCAGGTCATAAAAAGGCACACAGTTTAATGTTACTGCTACTCATGTCACTGTGACATCTGATGCCTGCATGCTGGAGGAATTTACTGCATATGTCCAGCAATGTTTAATCAATTAAAACACAGAATACAGACCAATAAGAGCTCGTGTGAGGTGGACAGCTCTTTGGTTTCTTATGGTTGTTACTGTGCTTTCAGGTGTTTTTAAGTGCTCACCTTCCGTCACTCAAACCTTTTTATTGAAAACTGAGCTTTTCAAAGACTCGGCGTTGCAGAAATCAAACCAGGACGTCCACTTAGTGCAGAGGTAATCCAGTAGCATGGTGATAACCATCAGGAAATGTAAATACACTTAAAAACTATAAGTGCAATACACACAGGTGGCAAAGATACGAGTCAGTTTGCTGTCACTGTGAGCTGCATATCCTGTACCTGAAGAACCAGAATGAGCGAGGGCCCCGGAGCTACAGTTGCTGTAACGCGTTAACTTTTTTACTTTGAAAGTCGAGTTATTTCTTACTTGTTTTGATGGCCAACATGCTTTTATTAATTACTGATGTGCCTGGCTTGTTGTGGAGCAGGATATACAACCCGCGTGCTGTCGTCACTGGGATTTGCAGCTTTGGCCCAAAATTGTCCAACATGATGAACCTCGGGAAGGGGAGCAGCATTAATCCAAAGTAATTGCCCCAGACCATCTGTCTGCCTGTCAATGTGTTTGTTCAACAATTCATCATATGTCCATCTGTTGCACGCAATGTCTTCGAAACCCATGACTGGCTTTAAATGAAACTTCAGGGCGCGATTGCTTCGTTAGAACATTTTGAAAAGCCGCACATATCGGCCTGAGAGGGGAGCGACAGCGTTGGTTTAATTACCTGAGAAGTCTTTCAGATTTTCCATTATTGTCTGACAGCTGAGAACCTTGTGGGCTCGTCTCGTCATTGTCCCTTAAAGCAACAATAACATTTTACATTCAGAAACTTTATTTTTTTGAGTTTGGGAAAACAACACAAACAGTGAAAATATTTTTATGGAAGTTGCCAGTTTCACATAAAACCCACGCTGGGAAGTGAAAGATGAAATTGAACTTTTAAGTTGTTTCCCAAACGGTTGGGAAATGCCATGAACAGAGCGACATCCTGCTTTAACTTGGGCCTTGTGTTCAGTTTTACAGCTGGCAGTGAACACAGCTTTGCGACATAATGAACGCCTGTAATAAACATTTGGAGTGTTCACACTGTCTGTGTCCACATCAGTCACCACCTCTAAAATCTTTACACTTAACCAACTGAGTCAAACCATATGAATATGAATGTAGGGTAGATTTACAAACTTGACTGTTAGGGAGCATTGCATTGGAGGGAAATGATATATCTGGCTGCTCTGTTTGACCACACTTATAACTAGACAGAAAAGCCTCAGGGAGGCACAATGGAAACAGCATTTATTTGTTCCGACACAATAAATCAGACGTTTCTGATTAGATTTTCGGGAAACAGGAGAACAATTTCTCTCGTTTCTCTTTTTCGGGCTTTTCAGCCTCGCTGAGTGTCCTCATCGCGTTGTTGTAAAGTTGCATTTATACTGCACACATTTCCTAACCATTTCCTAATTCTCTTTAATCCCCACCACAGCCCTGCACAACCTGTTGGCTGGTTTGTGGTTTTGCCAATGCAACGAGAAAAAAATGTGCGGCTGCAGTTGTTTCTCTAAAAAACAACCAAAAAAACCTCATAATGTGATCATCATTAGAATTCAGTCAGTGATGGTCTTCTGCATCTTTCTTTACATAATGATGCTGTTTTGATCCTCTCATGGCAAAAACAATCAAACAGAGGAATACAAACACACAGAACCCCACTATGATTGTGGACCGCTGTGATATGGCAGGATGCTCATGCATTTTATATTCACATATTCTCAGTGCTGTATGGCCTAAAACACACTGTCTGACTCTGTCTGTGTCGCCGGTACGCTCCCGGTGTGGAGCCGTTTACCACAGCACAGCACACTGTAGGTCTCTTCAGGAACAGTCAAGTGGCTTTTGTTGGAGTTGCATGAATAAACAATGCGCTGCTGATGGCAGAATTGCATTGCTTGGTGTTTTAATGCTAAACAAATACGTTGCACACCCCGTGGGCCTCTCAGACCTAATTTTACGCCTATATCCTGCAGTTACATCACCGCGTCCACATGCAGTGGTCAGCTCTATACGATGTGCACACAGGCTGCAGGCTGGGTGACATACTTAAACTGAATGAGTAATTGCATAACTCTGTGCAAAGCTGTATGGCTTAGGACATGCACAGCTCATCGCTGATTAGTTTTCACTGAGACAATGGAAACCTTTGGATGAAACACAGCCTATATGTGTATGCTTGTACTGCTCCTGCATGTCCTATAATGCTCTTTAATGGATGTCAGGATGAGTGGATCCTACTTTCTCAGGGCTCCAGTGTTGCTTAACTCTGTGCTCTAGTATGTTAGCAGCCGCCCACATGTCTGGATCGACATGTTTAATTTAGAGGTTGGTGCGCATATTGCTGCGAGTGCAGGATCGCTGGTAAATGACAGATTACTCACATTTGTGTGAGCCTATGTAATCCGATTCCAGTTCATTCTGTGCAAATCTCATGTCGTCATACTGTAGGAGCGCTTCGGCTCCACGCAGGCATGAGCAAACGGCCACAGAGCCATTCAACCCAGATGCACTTTGCACGGCTGTGGGTAATGTCAGCAGAGCCTCGAGTCCCATCGTGTCCGAATAATCACATCACATAGCATTAATTAACATGTTTATAATTACTGGGAGATCCGTGCATTGATTACTGGACAGCTACAAACAGCTGTTCTGCTCCTCAGCCTGCATGGGTTGGATCTGCAATCATCTCCGTGTCAAAATAATGATAATTAAAATAAAATAAAATAATACAACGAATGCAAACAGGAACTTGCAATATTTATTCCAGAATCAAAAAGCAGCCAGAAAATCAAATATAAAAACAACTCAAACATTAATCTTATCACTTAGTGGGAATAATACCAGGAATTGAAACGGCTCTAAACATTCATTTATCTTAGAATGCTCGTATTTCATTTGTTTTATTTTCCTGTGCTCTATTTTTTTTTTTTTAACATTTAATTAAATTTTTTAAATGTTTATTTCCTCTGTTAGTGTGCTGTAATAAAAAAAAAAACTAGAAAGCTTTAATGCATTTATTTTTCTCTCTATACGAAGCACACGAAGCTGCTCGAGTTTTAATTGTAGAATATTTTAAGGCTTTATCTTTAATATTTAAATCAGACTCAGATACACTTAGATAATACACAATTCTAGCATCTTAAACTTAACATTTGAATCATTCAGGCAGATTTACATTTAAGTTTAAGGCAAGGTCTTAAATTTGAATAATTCTGATTAGTCAGGTATATAATAATTCATATCACAGGGTCGTGACCTTTATAGATAAATGAGGCATTCTAATAACAAACAGGGTCTTAACTTAAATATTTAAATTAGTCAGGAAAGGCAAAATATAATAAATATATCATAGTGTCTAGACTTTGATATTTAAATTATTCCACTCAGTTTATATAATAATATATTGTAGGGTCTTAACTTTAATATTTAAAGCAGTGTGGTAAGTTATGTTTATATCATAGGGGCTTGTTTATTTTTAAATATTTAAAGTAAATTTGTAGAGTCTTAACATTCATATTTAAATTAATCTGGTAAATTAAAATCAGAAGGAAATGGAACCTTAACATTTTAACTTAAGAAAATTCTTAGTTAATTTATGTCTCTATTTAAAAAGTAAATGAGCTATTTAAATAAACTGTGATTGAACTGTAGGCCTACGTGTAAATCTAAGGGTAGATCTTTTTATTTCTCTCTTTTCCAGGCCGTAATCTGAGTGATTATTTCACTGTGTGTGGACATGAGGATGCCTCCATCCCTCCCTCCAGCCCTCCAGTGTCTGCTGTGGAGCCCAGAGAGCGCTGCATCTCCTCTCGTCGCCTCCATCGACTCGCTCGGCGCTCGACTCTCTCACTGTACACCAAACTCGCTGCGCTCTGACCACTGCAACTTTTGCAGAGACTCCTCACTCCACAGACATGTCGCACAATAGCTGAAGTAAACCTGTCATCGTGGCTCATCATCGGAGCCCAAGAGAAACACACCGCAGGCGGGATTGGAGCCGCACAGCCTCCTCTTCTGTTGGCTTCTTTTTCTTCTTCTTCCCCCCTCGGATCGGACCGTACTGTTTGAAAAACGCCTGGATATGAATTATGAGCATTTTCCTCACTAATGAACTGGGCCAGTAATGCAGGAGACCGCGGCGACCCTCTCATCAGTGTTCCAAGATGGCAGATTTTTATTGAGTTTTGAACAGAAATCTCGCTTTATTTTTTGCCATGAATAACAGAAATCCTTGCACCGATGGCCCCTGTATACGAAGGTAAGGTGGTTCGGAGCCGTCGCTGTGTTTTTCCTCCTCCTCCTCCCCGGTGCGGCTGTCTACTGTATCAATTCTAATACAATTGAATTGCGGCTCATACGGAGGAGAAGAGATGCGTTGCAGCCTTTCCTCCTCCTGTCCAGACAAAACCAGACATATTAACATGATATTTTCTAAACTTACCACAAGTAGGGCTCGTCACATTCAGCAGCAGCAGCAGCTCGGTGCGTAATAGCGCTTTTGGCCACAGTTACAGAATATCAGCAAATGCTCAGACAGATTGTGGAGCTGTGTCCGTCCGAACAGGCTCCAGAATAAGGTCAAAGACAAGCCTGCGTTCACGCAAACTACGACTTCACACCTGGAAATGTTGTGTTTTGTCCTCACGGTAGAAATGATTCGCTGTGCTTGACGACAGGAGAGGGGGCAACGGGAGAAGGTCGGAGCCCGATCGGTCCCATGTCTCGCCTCCTGTTCATCCCTTCTATCTCCAATTATTCCACATCAATTCAAAAACTATGTGACTTTTAATGCTCCGGCGCTTTGGTGCATCGGCTCATGGATGTGTTTGTGTTGCGGAAACGAAAGGCGAGCTTAAATACAGCGTATTCGCTATCGCTGCAGCATTGTGCCTGTGACTAATCCAATTGAGGGAACGCTACCCCGCATGCTTCTCTAAATTATTTGCTGGCACACAGGTTTTTATTTTTATGATCATTCTGAGGGAGTCATGCACACGCACCGTGCGCACTGTTTGCTCTGTGAGGTGGCTCATGAACGCAAAACAATGCAGTCGGCCCATTATGATCCGTGCATGATCGAGGTCTGTGCATGGTCCAGCTGCAACTACACAAATAATCCCCAAAAGGTTAAGCAGCATGATGATGACAAAAAGAAAGGAAGAAGCAGGCGTGACAGTGCAATAAGATGTCATGCAATGTTTTAGTTTGTATTTTGATTTCATTCAGTTATGTATTATTCAGAAGTACTGTAGCCTGGAGGGATGCTGCTCAGACGTAGAGCAGGACAGAAAAGCTGCTCCTACAGTGTTGCTAAAGGACACAGAGGTAGGCCCACACATGCTGATCACACTGAGTAGTAGGCAATGATAAGCCTTGATGTTCCTCATATTTATTTTGGAGCAGCCTCATGTTTAATATCTGCTTCTACTCTATAGTCCCTCTGCTGGTATTAAAGGGAAGCCCTGCTTTTGTGCTCCAAATTACCATTAAGGGGGAAAAAAAACTACTGGAAACTAACAGTTTAACAGGTTTTAAAGTGACATTACAGAAACATGAGCAGCAGAAGTGAGTCCTAACAGAGATGTTTAGGTTGCACGCTATAGGAGGTACAGGATCAGAATAAGGTTGCTGCAAACTCCCCGTAGGAATATTGTAGTGATTTTTCATTAGGGGTGTTGAGGCTTAGAGGCACAGCCCAAGACTCTGGCGCATCAACATGAAAAAGAAAGTTGAAATGAGACTCCTATGCAAAAGGTAATTAGTGTAAATTACATTCCCTGGCTTTTCCCTTCACCACAGAGAGGAGGAGGAGGAGAAGGCAAGAGAGAGAGAGAGAGAGAGAGAGAGAGGCAGCAGGGGGAATTAATTACCTTGCCTGTCCTCCTCAGTGTTGGAGAGGACTGTTATGTAGAGCAGTCATGGAAATGGCCAAAGTCTCTGGTGGAAAATAGGTTTGGGGGGCCCTTCACGTCCAATAGGCCCGGCTATTATGGTAATTACTCACCCTTGGCTACGGGGCAACTAATAACTTAAATCTATATGATTAACTACTTCCTGGGATTGTTTAAAGTTGAGCTTGTTGAGGGAAAACACATTTGTTTAGCCGAACATCTTGATTTCATATTTCTAATCATTTATTAGTGAGTTTAGAGCAGGCAGGGACTTTCAGGAATGCTCATGAAACTGATAGCCGGCATCGTGATCGCATCAATTTGTGTCCTTTTCCTTTTGGCTCTCCCTTTTTTTTTTCTTTTTTTTTTTCTCCTCAATGTTTGCCTTCAGTCCTTCTTGGCCCAGAGAGAAGGCCATCAGGCAGACCTGCTGGCAGGAAGGGTAGTGGTGTGATCACTCTGGGAGCCTGGTCTCATAACCCAAAGTGACACCTTGATGGATGTCTGATGAACGGAGCAGGTCCAGCAGCCCCCCCACCCCCACCCCCCAGCTGTGGAAAAGCTAATATTCAGCCACCGCCAAACCCTCGCCTTGTTGCCCGTCTGCCCTCTTGCCTGGTTCGATGTGGTCGTTATGGTGTGCTCATGCATGGATGTGCATATGTCTCTATCTATCTGCTTGCATGTGACTCTGCCCTGCACAAGCACCGGCGTTTTGTAGGGCAGGCCCGCCAGAGGATTAGACAGCTGCAGAACTGGGCGACCAGGCAGGGAGGCGACTTCATTTGCAGATCTGCCTCTCGCGGGTCAACCGGCGCTATTCCAGAGTGCATTCATTTATTCCCGCCTCGGAAAAAAACGGACAGCGTATGACTCAGAAGTTGATGATGATGGCGGCGGTGACAGGAGCTGCAGCATCGCAGGGCCAGATTAATGCTTTATCCGTCCGCACAGCTATTATGTGTTAATGCGACTTTGAATTACCTTGTGGTTTTGTGGGTATGGGAAACGCACCCTGCCCTCGCTGAAGGGGGAAGTCGGCCCTCCGAGGACAGGGAAAGAGACAGAAGGACAGAAAGAGCAAGACTTTCTCAGACACTGCCCTCAACTCTCTCCCTCCCTTTTCCCCTCACGCTTGTTTGGAGCCGCTTGATTGATATCTTCCTCGCACACCACGACCTAGGCTCAGGCTCCAAGGTTGCAGCTTTTTAAACTTTGATTAGAATTGCAGGAAGAGCCCTGGGGGCCTTTGGGGGCCACGGCAGGACCACACCCCGTGGCAGAGTCGGCGTCGGGGGGGGGACCGAGGAGGGTCTGTCTTCCTGATTGTTATGACAGGCCGGGTGGTGTGTTTAGCTCTTCACTGTCCACTGTGAAGGAAGAGCCGGGCTCAGGGAGGGAGGATAACTAAACAGTATGTAGGCGATGGGGTGATGGTTAAACAGCTCCCAGAAAAGGACCCTCATCAGGGCGAATCCTCGTAGGTACCACTGTGAATGTTTATGTCTTGCTTTTCACTCTCACTCAGTGGCCATTTTGATCTTTTTGTTGACCCGATTCATCACCTTATGACTTGTTTGGAAGAGGGCTTTGCTCAGAAAGGGTTATGAAAATGGATAAGCTGTCTTTACAAGTATCGCTTTTGCATTATTCAAAGCTTCCTATCTGAAAAGAGAGTGAAATCCAGTGTTCGGGGGATTCTTTGTGCTATTGATTTGTTGAAGCATTTAGTAGAAGAAGCTGGGGCTTTGGAGGGAGCTAGAATGTGAGTTTTTATATGGAGACAGGGGAATATGTGAGCTCTCTGATGTGCTGAAATAGTTCACAGGTGTGATCTGAGGGGTTTTTTTGAAACAGATGGGTGTGTGCGTGGATGGGGGAGTCGGGTGGGTGAGGAGGCAGAACTGAAATGACAGGTTAGCAGAGGCCAGTCTGACACAGGAGGCCCAGCCTTCAATATGAGCCCAACACTTCTGGCTATTTCAACAGGCTCAAATTTTCATATACTCTTTTTCAGCAAATTTCTCAGGAGAAGAAGTGCCTCCAGTACTCCGGCACATCATTCTTCTGGCTCTCTCCCTTTTTTTTTTTTTTTATGCGTGGAGGAAATTTAATTGAGATGCAAGGGAACTTTGCAATTCTCATTTTCTCCTCAGTCAGTAAGCCTCCTGTTTTAGTGCTTATGCCATATGCTTCAGACCTCGCGCAGAAACAACTCTGAAAGCTCTGAGGTCCTTGAACGGAGGGGGGAGACCACATCAGTTGCTGACATTAGTTAGTTTTTTATCAAAGGGGAAGAGGGAGATTGGCTGGGATGGAGCCTCAGCCCTGTCGACTGCTTACACAAGGCATTTCCGTGTTGGTTGTCATGCATGTGTGAAGGCCTTTCCCCCCCCTGCACTTTTGTTTCACATTGTGTATGGTGTCAGCTTGTTTGGAACAGCTGCCTCTGGCTCCGACTCGCAGTGTAACGACTCCGGGCTCTGCTAGGGAGGAAACTGGTGTAACTGGCATCTTTATTTGCTTTAGTTAGCTTTCTGAACAAACTCAAGTTGCAGAAGGGGGGGTGGTGGGTATCCGCATTGAAAAACTTGAAACGCTCTCGTACTGTATTGCATTGGCCTTATTGCTTGAGGTAACGCTTCAGAAACACACAGTCCGTACTGCTGGCATGGTTTGAAATGCACAATTTGGCTTGTGAATCACTCTGGACTTTGTAGCTCAGAACGGGCGCTGTATCACCTCCTTGTATTTTAGGATCAACCTGCAAGAAAAAAACCAAAAGACTTTAGATTTTAATAACCTCTCACTGCTACGAGTAACGTAGTGAGCACTAATCTGTACCTGTTAAAGAGGCACGATGCTGAGACTCTCTGTACCTTATGACACATCCACTGCTTTGATCTGCTATGAAAGCCACGGTTCAAACAAAGGTTCACATTTTACTACTTCTCAACACAGCGCAGACTGAATAAGGCCTTTTGTTAACTTGGGCCTGTTAAGCAGTAATTACAAAGGGATTCCTCGAGCATAAAGGACACTTTATATGCCGAGGGTGTCGAATCATTTCTATATATATGTGTGTGAATAATATTGCACAGCATGAGAATAATCTGCATTTTTCTCACATACCATTTATTGCATGCTCTCTTCGCAATCTCTCATCATCCACCAATGACCCCCGTCAGTTCCCACCCTGCGTTTCCCTGCCCCACCCCCACTTCTATCTCTTATCTGTCCTTCCATCCTGCTCTGTTTGTTGATAAGCCGAGAGGCCATTGGCCAGCACACATGGTGCCCATGTGACACTTCAGCAACAGCCTGATGGCCAGATTGGAAGCCCCCATGTATGTGTGTCTGTGTGTGT